TGAATATGACTATGTTTTAAATACATTGTATATGTATGATGTTTGGAAAGAAAAATGGGATGTACTCCATTGTTTGGAAGGAGATAGGGGATGGGCTCCATTCAAATTAAGTTGGCTAGAGTGTCCAGAGTGAAAGTCTCGAAATTGCGTGTATACATGGGTGCCGATCCCGCAGACAAAATTTTCGTGAAATGGCAGATTTAAAGTGTTTGTGTGGTAGTGTATTGAATTAGAAAACTACTGAGTTGTTATCTCAGTTGGGTTACTGAAAGATAATGAAATTGACTCATGAATTGAGAAGAATAAATGAACTTGAAATGAACTAAAGGAAAATGAATTGAAATATGAACTTTGGTGCTTTACGGTTATATAAAATGTGGATATTTTGTCACCAACATTGTATATGCACATTGTACTTATATCTTTGTTAAATCCCATATATTGTGTTAGACTGTTCCTACTGGGTTTTGGCTCACCTTATTTAGGGAAAACCATTTTCAGGTGCTGGTGACATGCCTCCGCCAGGGTAATAGCTTGGAGGGACTTTTGGGAGCAAGAGCTTCTTTCTTTGTTATATTTTTGTACAGCCAAGGGCTTTAAATTGTATTAAGCTAGGCTCACTTTTGTTTAACTAAGCAATGACTTGGAAAGATGTAAGCCTATAGTGCATATGACTATTTGTTCAGTTTCAATTCTCTTATCGTTGCAACACATGTTGTAGATTCAAGATAAATATTTGTGAATGTATATCACATATGTTAACTTTTGTAAACCAACTCTGATGAATGAATGAATGTATTTTATTTCTATTATCCTTCCGCTTATGAGTTGGATTTATTGTATTGTTTTGAAGGCGTTATAGTTGAGTCTATAAATAGGCCAAGAGAGATACAAAGAAAAAACATCAATAACGATCAATCACACTCTCAAAGAGTTTATCTAGGAATAGTTTAACTTAGCATTATTAGGAGTAGATTAGTGACAGCTTTTTCCAACCCCTACTTCTCTTTTTTCTATCGATTGCTGCATTTTTCGTTTCTTTTTCTTGTTTAAGTTCGTGTAACTGATAGCAAGTGGCAAATTAATTGGATAAATACATATTCTTTTATGTTTCAATCCTTATTTGCTTAATTACCTCTGAGGAAGTCTTTAATCTGTTTAAGATATAGAATTCAATCACAACACCTGATCATTTTTTTGTATTTATTAAAAAAAATTTGAGCCTGACTATCAATCACTGTCGATTGGGCTTGAACCAAAATTTTACCAACATTATCATGCAAAATTATTCACAACGGGACGTGCTTTTGCAACATCTAGTGTGTCTGGCATTGTGGCAATAGTTGCCTCTAGTTTGTACATTTGGCAATGGGTAACAACATTACTTTGTCTGTGCTTTTAACATGTTCATATAGATTTGATCTACAATTAACTGTTAAGGTTTACATTGGTACTTGTTTTAGTTTTGTATTTAACAACTCAAAATTTGTTTTCTTTTTTCATCTTATTATTATGGAAGATTCAATAATACACCCATGAAAAAAAAAAAGTATAACATATGCCTTAATTATGACTTTTATGGCATTTGGTTATAACTCCTTATAATATTGATTATGACTTAGGTGGTGTTTGATAAAGTTGAAACTGAAAATTAAGAATTGAAAACTAAGTGCTAAATTTTTTAAGTTAAAAAATTGTTTGATAAAAATTTAAGTGTTGAATTAAAAATAAATTATTTGATATGTATAAGATTAAATTTGAAATTTATTATTTTTAAATTATATATTTTAATTTCTATATTGTGATGGCGGTAGCGGTGGTGGTGGTGATGATATGATGGTTATGGTGGTGGTAGTGGTAGCGTTGATGGTGGTAGTGATGGTAGTAATAGCGATGGTGATGGTAGTAAAATTATGGTGGTGTTTATAGCAATAATGACAATGGTAATGAAGATGATGGTAATAATGGTGGTAGTGGTGGTGGTGGTGTCATGATAGTGGTGGTAGTAGTGGTGGTGGTGGTGGTGGTGGTATAGTGATAGTAGCGGTAGCGGTAGCGGTAGCGATAGTAGTGGCGGTGTCATAATGGCGGTAACGATAGCAGTAGCGATAGCGATAGTGGTGGCGGTGTCATAATGGTGGTGGTGGTGGTGGTGGTAGTGGTAGTGGTAGTGGTGGTGGTATAGCGATAGTGATGGTAGCGGTAGCGATAATGGTGGCGGTGGCATAATGGTGGTGGTAGTGGTGGTGGTGATAATAGTAGGATGGTGGTGATGGTTGTGATGGTGGTGGCAATGGTTGTGGTAGTAGTGGTGGTAATCGTAAGTTTATAATAATATATATCGATACTTGTATTTAGTTTTTATAAATTCAGTCAGAACTAAGTAAATTTCATATGATTTAAAATTTTCTTAATTTTTAGTTTACATTTTAAGAGGGACTTAAATTTTTAACTGATATCAATTATGATTATCAAACAGGCCTAATTGATTATCAGTTAATTAATTTAATTTTAAGTGTTGAATCATGTTATTAAGCATCTCATTAGTTATGACCCGTTGTGATTGCTATTGTGAATATAAATTAAGTGGTGTTTTTTTTTTTTTTTTTTCATAATCAAGTGTCCAGACCAACTTATATGTACCTCGACTAATCCTGCGGGACGAATCCAACCACCCACTTGTAGGGGCCTCATTTTTTTTTTTTTTTTGGAAAATGTTATGAACCCTAAATAATCTACCAAATGTTTTACCAAATCTTTCACATGGGTGTGGGACCCACACAAATTTGTGTGGATCTCACACCCATGTGAGAGATTTGATAAAACATTTTATAAATTATTTAGGATCCCTAACATTACTTTTTTTTTTCTTTTTTCTTTTTTTGAATTGATTTGAACGAGGCGCATTTAAAGTCAAGGTGAATGCCCTATATGGACATGGCCTCAAGAAATTTATGGTTGCTAGTAGATATTAAACCTAAACTCATTGTGGTGTTAGTTATGACTCGGTTACACACGATTATAACTCAGTTATGAGTTACTATGGTTGTAATTTTGATTATAATTCGAGCATTTTGGTTATGCTTTAATAATTTTTTATTATGATCCATCAAATTATGATAAAAAATAATTTTGTTATGATATTTTGTAGTACCATAAAGTGTCTTAATTTGCATGTAATATTTCTCTTTTTAAGAGGTGTGTATTATAAAATTACCCTATTAGTATTGGCAAGAAAGATGAAGAAATTGAACTTTTATTATTAAGTATTAATTTATAAGGGTGAATTGAGAAATTATGTATATAAAGAGTAATTGATGGTGGAATTACCCAGTTTAGCACCTATGGTGATTACCTCGAAAGATTGAAAATTGGATGCATATATTTAAGTATTTTAAAATAAATAAAAATAAGGGAGAATTTTAACACAACGGACCGATAAAAAAATTACAAAATTATATGAGGTGTAAGTGATTTTATGATGAAATACAAGTTCTTTTAATGTTTGTGTAAAAAAAATAAACAAATAAAATAAAATTCTTCCACTAGGATGTAATCCTCCCTAAAATAAAACATAAAAGATAAATTATAAATTGTGCGAGGAGCAGATATCCAGGCGAGCCCGCACTCCTTGCTTCCGAGCTCCGTTTCTATCCGATCACCTGCGTGCACAACAGCGGTGAGCTACCCGGCGGTGTGTGGTCGAAAAACCCCTTTGACGATCAAGTTAGCACACACCTGAGGATAGAGAGAATGAGGAGTGAATGGAGTATAAGTATTTCTCTTACCAAATGTTCGTCTCTCAGCATGGGGGGCACAGACTGGCTTATATACCTTCTGTGCCCCAAATCTACTCCTAGTGATCTCTCGACACGTGATTCTACTATCCCATCTATCAGCACAAATCTTGCTGAACATCACCTAACCTGACTGCCAGCCCACTCTACTGGGAGCTCGGTAGCCGGGCTAAATCTTCTCGGCTGTCGACGGCCATGCTGTGTTCCATGCCCAATTGCTCCAAAAACTGAGATCCTTTCCAGCCATGCTCGGCAGCATTCCGGCAGAGCCGACCTTCAGACAGGTCGTACCGGTCAACCAAAGGCCATCCAGCCGAGCTTCTGGCACAAGCTTCTCGACCGGGCTAACGGTGCGCGCCATCGACCGAGCAACGCAAGTTGCGCGGTTATCACCTGCGCAGATCCAAGTGGCTCGGTCCATCTCTGAGCAGCCCCAACTCCAGGTAAATCCAAAGTTATCGCGGCCCGACGCACCATTGGGCCTCCAATTTGCTCGGCCCATAACCGGCTCATAATTCTTCCTCTCATAAATATACCTCATAAGATTTGTTTAAAATATGAATTACTCCTATAATTCTGAAAATTACATCACACCCTTTAAAGTTTTTAATTTCATAATAATAAATAGTCCCTTTTATTAATAAATAATCAAGTTAATCAACAGTTTTTAATAATCAAGTTAATCAATTTATTTCAATTAAATAATTAAAATAATTTTATTATTGTAAATGAGAGTGGTTAGAAATTTTATTTTTTCAATTAATTTTGTTAAATAAAAAATTTTGACAATAAAATATTTATAATTTTTCAAATCACATAGGACAATCTATATTTTAAATAAAACTTGTGTATTTATAATTTATTTAGATAGGAAAAAAATTTAAACAAATAGTCAACAAAAGTCAACGAATAAAAAAATCAACAGATATAATAAGAGATAAAATTAAAAACAAAATATTCTTCAAAATAAATAAAAAAAATTCTCACCAAATTATTTCACAAAACCTCTCACCAATAAAAATATCCACTAAATCTAATATATTATACTTTACTTAATTTTTTAACAATTATCTGTTTACTCAATAAAATAAAAAAATTAAAAAAAAAAAAAAAAAAAAACCTCATTGGCTCAGTTGGTTTGACTCAGAGAGAGTGGGGGACCCACATGGAAAACGAATAAGAGGGGACACCTGGCGCTGGTGCGCCTGTGCTCGTGGCTCGTGGAAAGCACAAGTTCCATCTCTTCTATAAAATTGTAATCAAATCCAAATCTCCAACGATTCCCAAAATAAACCCTAGATTTGTGGCAATCTTTGCTCTGTTCTTGCAGTCAATAATGGATCAATGGGAAACCAACGATTTCTCTCAACCCCTTGATTCCAATCATGTCCCTACAACCACCTCTGTTCACTGCACTCTTCTTCATCCACTCCCCAACTCGCTTCCCGAGCCAAGGTTTGATCTTTTTTTTTTATACAGTCAAATTCAATATATAATACCTGTATTCGTGTGTATATCTTATAGCTTACTATTTATTAGCTATGTTTAAAGGAAATGCATGATTAATAGTAGTATATAGCCACAATTAGCCTCTTTGTTGATTCTGATTGTATTGCTTATAAGAAATCTCTTTTAATTTCTTCCATATAAGTGTGATTCAATACAATTTTAGCATCTCTGGTTTGGTGTCCTAACCAGGGATGGCCCTGAGTTATTCGGTGCCCTCGGGTCCTATGCGAACTTTTCAAATTGGACCTTTTATGCATAATTAAAAGGGGAAATTTCATGACAGTGGTATTGTCTTAAAATAATTACATACTCATGAAAAAGTTTATGACTTTAATTATTAAAATTTATCATGATTTCAACTAATCAAAATATATGTATATATATTTGCTAATACACACAAATTCTACTTGCATATTTAATCAAATGAATTTAAGAGCATCTCCATTGGTTGGATAAAGAGCTAGTTATTGCTATAATTTAGCAAAAAATAGTGTTAAAATGTTTTATTTTAGCAATCTTGCTCTAATGGCACAATGAATGTTTTTTCAACTTTTCTCATAAAATGTTAAATCAAAATGCTATCTGTGAGTCCTTAGAGGAGAGATATAGACACAATGTTTACTTATAGGTAATATATTGCAAGCCAAATGCCTTACCATTGGAGTGAAAATTTTGAAGCTTTAAGGTAAAATATAGCAATAGCATTCCATATAACACACCATTGGAGATGCTCTAAGGGTGAGAATTTTCAAGATGCCTCGAACCGAAAATGACACTTGGTATTTTTAACTGAGAGTGAAAGTTTTGACATAACACATTAACTGGACACGAACTAAAAATGAAACAATACAATAACATAAAAAATGAATGGATTAGGTTAGTATTGAAGTAATTCTAGCACAAACTGAAATAACACGACACAATGCCTACCCCTGATTGGGGGCCTCAAAATTTTGTTCAAATTTGGGGGCCTGAGGCGACTGCCTTGGTTGCCTCTCATCAGGGCCAGTCCTGGTCCTAACTCCTGAACTTTGTTTTATGCTCAATGGTGGTCATTAGTCTTGATGTTCTAGTAAAAAGTTGTAAAAATATGTGGAAATATGTGAAAGGTGTATTGAGATTCTAATTATTTTGGCATTTTTCAATCTTAACGACAGCCCTATCTGCTGTTATTAGCATGACCCTTTTTATAATATTTACATTTATGTAACTTTGAAACTGCAGAGTAATTTAAGTGACAAAACTGCTAAATAATATCTATGTTTGCAAATGAAAGCGGGTTGGGATCCTACCCTTAAACATGTTAAAGTAAAGGCTCTATTAACGTGTCCAAATTTCATTCACATATTAGGCTTTCGAAGAGTATTCTTGGCTCTTTACATGGATTGCAAAAGTTTCAGGATCGAATTGGAAGAATGCTTTGTTACTTTAGATTCATTTGAATTTTTCGTCTCGTTTTATTCTTCTCTCTTGGGTTGGATGTTTTCATAGACAAATGCCTGAGGTGGAAGTAAAAGATCCAATTGCTGCAAGAAAAGTTCAGAAGGCAGACCGTGAAAAATTGAGGAGGGATAGGCTAAATGAGCATTTTCTTGATCTAGGAAATGCACTAGGTAAAGCATGGTTGCCTTTGAATATTATCCTTTTTGGTAAACATGCTTGTTCTATATTCAAATATATTTTCTTTGTTAGTTCACAATCATTTATTATTTTCTTCCTCTTACATGGACTGCACAATCAAATTCTTTCCTCTTTTTTTTTTTTTTTCACAATCAATTGTTTGGTACTTTTTTTCTAAGGGAGATTGAAATATTTAACAAATCCCTCCAAGGGGAATGGCTTTGGAAATTAGAAATTGAGAAGAATGGATATTTGAGGAGGGTTTTCTTGGGTGAATAATATTTGAGGAGGGTAGTGGTGGTGAAATATAGTAGTTCTTCAAAGATTGGACTTCAATTTTGGTCACAATTCCATATGGGTATGGGCTTTAGAAAGTCATCTGTAGGGTTTGGTATCTATTTGTGCCACTTAAAAGTTTGAAGGTTGGGCAAGTGAGGGTGAACTTTTGGCGTCATTGATGATATGGGCAAGGTGCTTTAGAGAGTACATTCTCTGCCATTTTCAACCTTGTGATTGATAAAGAGGCTTCGGTGGCAAATTATATAAGGAGATTGAGACATCAAAATTTTTGGGGTATGTTCCTCTTAGGAGGAATGTTCAAGATTGGGGATGGAAGTTAATGAGGCTTTTTTCACCTGCTCTATAAGGTGAGGGGCATAGGGGATGGTCATGATTATTTTTGGTGGGCTTTATCTTAAAGCGGCAATTTGAGGTGAAGTGTTTTTTTGTGGGGGGTTTACAGGGGATGGAGAGTTGTTCTCATGGAAATGGATTTGAATTTCTGGGGCACCTTCCAACATGGCATTCTTTGTTTGGAATGCAGCATATGAGAAAAATCTAACCATTGACAACCTAATTAAGAGGCAACAAGTTATTATCAATGGGTGTTGTTTATGCAAGTTAGATGGGGAATTTGGGAAGCAACTTCTAGTTTGTTGTGATGTTATGATGGATCTGATTTTGTTAATGTTTGGGATGTATTAGGCAGCATTTTTAAGAGATGTTGCAACATTTTGATATTGTTGGAAAAGGGGTATGGTGGGGAAACATCGAGGGAAGGTGTGGCTTTTGAGTCCATTGTGCTTAATGTGGATTATTTGGTTGAACGCAATAGGATGCTTCAGGGTGTGAATAACCTTTATAAAGCTTTAAAATTTTCTTTTTGACCATTTTGTATGGATGGGCTTGGAGGAGGACGAATCCTAACTTGGAACATTTCTTAGATTTTCTTGCATCGTATGACATGTAAGGATTGTATAAATCATTTTGTTAGAGTTGGGTGTGTTTGGCTTGCTTTCTTAGCCTTGTATATATTTCTACTAATAAAAAATATGAAGTTTTTTTTGGGTAATTATAAAAAATATGAAGTTGATCAACAATGCCTCCCGCATTTTTGCACATACAACACCAATCAAGGGACGGCTTACCTTCTTTCACTCGAGTTACCAATAGTGAGCTAAGAAGCACAAACACAAACACATGACATTACATAGACATGTTGACATGGTAAATTTTTTTTTTTTTTTAAATGTAAGGCATGACATGTCAAGAACAAGTGCAAAATATGTAGTTTTACATATTTATTATATGCCACGTATGAATATTTCATTCAAAGATAATAAAAATTATACAACATAATATTAACTTCTAAAGTTTAAATGAGGGATTGTAGGAACAAGTCTACATTATTTTCCTTTTATCATTGGATCCTAAGTTATTTTGTTCAAACAAGTAATATGTTTAATTTGTATCTAAGCGATGGACAAAGAGTGTCTAGGTCTAATTTTCTTTTCTTTTCTTTTTTCTATAAAAATAATAAGACACGTTTGGACGTATTTCCAACAAGTGTCGGTATCCAACACAGACATGACATGGACACATCAACTTCTTAGAATTGTTTGTGCTTCTCAGATAGTGCGAGTCTTCCGATGAGCAGCCACCCAACTAGAAAAGGCTACTTTGGAAAGAACTTTAGCCCTTGAATTCCTTTTAAGGGAAAGGAGTTACTGATGAACTTATAAGCATGAGACTTGACCTTTACACACCTTCCAGACCAGGAAACTGTCCAAAGCTAATTCTATCCTGTTATCCCCCAACAACCTCCACTATGTCCTCAATCTCTTATTATGCATTGACCTCTATTATACCACATTCCATAGTCACCCTAAAAGGCTGGTTTCTCCATTGTTGATCCCCAATAAGTGATAAGTGGCTGCTCTTAACTTGAGCTCACATGCTTGGCAATCCGAGCATTATCACATTCACCCCTAAACTAATTTTGTTGCCAGAACTAGAAGAGAGTTAATTTGTTTTTTTGTCAATTAAGTTATGTAATCTTCCCTATCCCTCTAAATTTTGCACGGAAAACCGCATCCCAATTTTTGCACATTCCATCCAATAAAATTAGTTGTAATATGAAGTTGAGATTACATCTAAAATTGTACGAGTGACCATTGTTATTATCTATAAAGGGAATGATACAAACTTTCAAGATTTTATATTCTTAAGTTAAAGAAATTGGACTGATGTTGTTCATTAAATAGGTGTATGATTGACATAACAATCATTATAGTCCTTATTCAATGTTTTGTTGCCCCTGTTGCAGTTTTCATATTCACAGACAAGCACATGCATGGATATTAATCATATGATAATAAACACACTCATCATGGTCGTAAGGACACCTATTTAATTTCTGCCTCCTGAATTTGATCAAGCCCTATTGGTAATACATGTTTATCTGCTTCTCCTAGGTGGCATGCCATGTTATCTCCATGTGTTCACCATGTCATCACCTTCAATAGGTTTAAATCCACATATCAATGTTGTGAGTTGATACACGGACCAATCATAACTCTCTCCATATGCTCCCCCTTCGGGGTTGAGTTATTCTAGTCAATGTTAACATATACAATGCCTTACCCTATAGTATAGGCACCGAGGGACACCAGAGGCAATCCTTGATCTGTTTGAATGAGAACACTTGAGGCAACCCTTGATTAGGCCAAGTGAACCTCCGGCTGAGCACATCAGCTTCTCTGATCAAGATAACACATTCACATCCTTGGCGGTTGAGCAGTTCTACACCCAAGCGTGTCCTTATGCCTGTACCTCAAGTTCATGCTATAGGTAGTGTCAGGCATGCTTACTCTATGGATGATGTCCGTCTCCGCATGACACTTGTGCTTCTTCCTCAGCTCGGCCAAGCCATCCGCTGATCGAGTGCACATTTCCTATATAATCTATACTTTTTTTAAAGACCTCTATGGTATCATGTCTGCCTGGATCAAGAGCAGAACCTGAAAAACTCCTCAGGGTTGGCAGTTGTTATAGGGTATCAAACGATCTCATTGCCATCACGCAGGATCTCTGTGATCTTGTGGCTTGGTGGCTAGAGTTGAAGTTTTGTCAATATCTCATCCTGTCCCTCCCTTGAGGAACTTGCACCAGTCAGAGAGAGAGAGATGTTCTTCGTACTCTATGCATGCCTACCCACCCCGTAGCAGCCGCTGAGGATTCAAAGTATTTCATCTTCTTGGTAGCTGCAACCTCCAGTTTATCGGGCCAAGGAGGATGAGCCACCATGTTCAAAAAAAGAAAAGCAAAGAATAAGGAAGATGAGCCACCTGCCACCTAAGCACGTGACATTGTGTATGGGTGAGCTAGTGGCTGGCCTTCAAAGCCTGAAATAAGGAGGCGGTCTCCTCCATAACTTTCTCCTCCAGCAAGCTTAGAAGCCCCATTGCCATGCTCTCTGTCTAAGACTCTCAGCTCTCATCCCTTCCACCTCCTGTGATGTTGTGCCATCTCAGCACCTACCATAATTGACAAAGGGCTCCTCAACTAGGCCACTCATCACCTACCTTCCACCATAGGATTTCACAGTTTCCTTAGAGTAAAACTATGTTTTAAGTTATGTTTAAGTGATGATATATGAACTTCACGATACCTTTCTTACTCATTCTCCAACACTCATCTGCCCACACAATAATAAAATAAATAAATTATTAAAAAAAAAAAACCTGAGGTCATCACTGTTGGCTTTGACAGTTTTAAGGTTGACATGTTGAAGACCTATGATAAAGTTACTACATTGTCTTGTCCTTTAACTTTTTCTTTTTGGCACTTGTGCCGCAGCTTACTATACCATGCCATAAAGCTGAAGAATTAGTATTGTGCATGCACGCTTAGTATAACCAAGTTGTTCCCTTTTCTTTTTTCATTTGGAAGTAAAATCAAGTAATTCATATTTCAAATACTACAATATTAAATTCAATAGTCGTTCTCAATTGCTATTTTCAAAGACTGACATTGTTAAATTTGACAGACCCTGATAGACCCAAGAATGACAAGGCAACCATCCTCACTGATACAATCCAAGTGCTGAAGGATTTAACAGCCGAAGTTAACAGACTAAAAGCCGAGTGTGCAGCACTTTCAGAAGAATCTCGTGAGGTGATTGCTTTTTCATGGTTAATTCTTAAGGTTATATGGCCCTTCAGTTGCTGATCTCATCACTTGGTTTTGTTTTCGAACAGCTGACACAGGAGAAGAACGAGCTCAGAGGAGAGAAGGCGTCTCTGAAATCTGACATTGACAATCTTAATTTACAATATCAGCAAAGACTTGCAGCTATGTTTCCATGGACTACTATTGATCCTTCAGTTGTCATGGCTTCACCTTTTTCATATCCAGTTCCTCTTACAGTCCCCCCCGGCCCGATTCCAATGCACCACCCAGCTATGCAGCCATTCCCTTTCTTTGGAAATCAGAATCCCGGTGCCATTCCTAATTCATGTTCGACTTTTATCCCGTATCCGAGCCTGGCTAATCACCACATCGATCAGCCATCTTACCAATGTGCATCCACTTCCCGCATTTCAAGCAAACAAGATTCTAAATGCAAGATATCGGATCATTGTCGGGGAAGCAACGATGACAAAAGTGATGATTCCAATGATGTGGTGACTGAGCTGGAACTTAAGACACCAGGATCTACAGTACAGCAGGTTGGTTTTTAGATTTATAGAGCTGATACATTGCAGAAATCTTAGCTAGGTTAAAAACAGAGAGATTACAGTAGTTTGCATTAATGCAGGAGCAGTCACCGGGAGAGAGAAAGAGCAAGAAACCGCTACGGAAGGGGAAAAGTATTGTAGATGGAAGTTCTTCGAGCGGGTATTCGTCCTCACAAGGTTTCCAAGATAGCTCCTCCAACAACACACAATAAACTAACGTCTAGTAACTCAGATGCTTCTGTTTGCCTATGCCATTTGACTACGACAACCCCCTAACAATGCAACCTTCCACTACGACGCTACTAGCTTCACTATTCCAAGTCCTAACTGAAATCGTCATTGCTATTGTTATTTCTGGATGCCAGGATGATCGGATGCTGATTATAATGAAATGGTTTTCGGTGGAGTTAATCTTTATATGTTAATTAAATTTTTTAACTTTATACGAGGTGCAAAACATCCCTCAACTTGTTTAAACAACCTGTAAATTTTCTCCTTTAGTGTAGATTTTAATAGCACGTGTAAATTGTTTCAAATTTGGAAAATCAAAGGTCGTGGATGAGCCTTGACTGGGCTAGCACTGATGAAAAAATGACAATAAAAACTTTTCCCTTTGTAACCGTTGTAGGATTAAAGATCAGGTTCAAGATTCAAGTAAAATTGACCTTCCCTCTCATGTCAAGGTGAGGCAAGGAAAATCCGCTCAATCCACATCCGCCGGATTGGCGGACGGATGCGGATTGATTTTCTTCAATCCGCCAATCTGGCGGACGGATGGCGGATTGGAGGTTCCGTGGCCGCAACCGACCCGCGCCCACCCCTAGCTCAAAGACAGTAAACTCAGCTCCCCAACCTAAATCTCAAAAGCCAATTTATACCCAAGTGGTTTTATGAAATTCAACAATATAGACCTCACCAGCCAGTCAACTTCCCACATCAGATGTTTTAAAACAATTACAACTATATGTTGAGCAAGATCACAATGATTTTTGTTAGTGATTATAATTAGAGTGGTGTTATTAGCATTTCATGAATTATTTTATATCTCCTATTTGTTTAGACTCGCACTTGTAAATTTTGGAACCCTTAAAAAAAAATTTCTCCCCTCAAATAATATTAAAATTATTCTTGTAAAAACATTTCACTCATTGAATGCACACCCTCACGTCCCAAAAACCCCTACTTCCAAAAAAAAACCTAACAACGACCACGAAGAAGAAGAAGAAAAAGAGGAAGAAGAGAAGGCAATGTGATTACTGTCTCTGCTACCTTATCCACTATAATCACAGTTGGTATAATCTCCCTCTCTATATATATATACACATAATTTCTTAGTTTTGCTATAATAACTTCTTTTCTTGCAGAAAAAAATTATAATAATTAGTTTAGTTTTCTCAGTAAAACAAGTCTGAACCTATGAATAATGTTCGATTACCTATTTCTGAACAAATAATAAATGTTCGATTACCGGTTTTCAAATAAATACACAATGTTCGATTATTGATTCCTGAACAAATAAGGGAGTTCAGTCCTAAAAAAATGACGAATATATTTATTATTTTTGCTATTTTTTTCAAGAAACTTACCTTTACAAAATCAATCTCCTCTGAGCTAAGAACAACATCAAAACTATAAACTTCTAAATTTTTATTGTTGTACTCCTCTCGTCTTATGGAGTTGTGGCTACCATAAAACTTCCACTCATTGTCATTGTCGGAGAAATGTAAGTAATCAAATAGTTGTCACCGTTACTGCTGGACTATTCCTTCCAAAAGATTTTCAAAGTTTTGAGTCTAAATAGGTTTTGAAAGTGGAATTTGAAAAAGATGAATAGGTGGTGATAGAGGTGGGTGTTACTATAAACCCTAATTCATGATACAGTGTGTAAGTTTAATTGTGAGATGGCGTATCCCAAAATTAATGATGTACTTTGTAATAATTTTATTTGAGGTTATTATTGTAATTAAAAAAAAACTTAAAACAATAAACCAAAAAAAAAAATCTAAAAACAAACAATTTCATTAATAACTTATTTATGTCACAAGTTAAATTTTGAACTGGAACAACCATAGAAACTGCACACTAATATGACAGCTATTTTCCCAGAAGGGGCAAATGAAACTACACTACATCAAATGGCCTCTCGGCACAATGTCTACATGAACCTATTCAGATACCCTGTCCCTGAAGTACATCACAAATTCCCAGAAAATGTCCGCATGACCTATTCAGATACCCTGTCCCTGAAGTACATCACAAAGTCCCAGAAAATGTCCGCAAATTGGCAGTAGAGGCACAAAGAGATGAGAGCCTGCTTACCGAGTACAATCTTCAAGCCAAAATTTTGAAAAAAGGAAGTCCACTACTCCCTTACCCTCTCTCACTTGTCTCACAAATTTTTGTGATCTACATTTTCCGAGAGCGGCTACCAACATTTCTTGAAGAACTAATGCTCGCTGTTCTTAGAAGCCTGCGGAATTCTGAAAGACTTATCCTGCCATCTTTGTCAATGTCAGCCTCCTCAAGAAGTGGGTCTATGGAGCCTTTCAAGCCCGTGTGCTGGAAGGCGATAAAAGTAATTTCTTAGAAATTTTGAAACATGCCGAGAAATTTCAACTAATATACTAATGTAACTCTATAAAACAATACTTGTGAATAATCAATTTTTTTTATAAAAAAAAATGAAATTTATTATGACAACCGTGTAACCTATATTTGTCCCAAAACCAGTCAACCAAATTTCTTGTATCGGTAGTTGTTTCATATCTCAGCAAGATTCATGTAATATCAATGCAATTGGCTTGGAAACCAAGTTTGAAAAGAAAAAACAAAATGATCTTCTCTATTTTCCCCATATTAATTTTTTTTGAAACCCTTTTTTTCTATTATTTATATTTATGTATGTAAAAGAAGAGATTTGGTCAGCCAACCAGCCAAGTCCCAATCTCAATTTTCCAGGAGAGAATGAAAAGAACCTACCAGTCTGGTGACATAATACTAACCATTTTAAGTTCTTCTGTAGTTATATATCCATCTCGATCCACATCGAATTTCTCAAAAGCAGCTTGTGACCTCTGCTGCCACTTTTCTGAGTTATGTTCCTCTAACTGATGCACATGTAAAGTGGCTGCAACAAACTCTGTGAAATCCACTAGTCCATCGGTGTTACTGTCAATCTGCAGCAACAAAAAAAATAAAATAAAAGCCATCAGGATTCAATTTATACAAAAAATTCACAAGTAAGAACTAGTGTTCTGCTTGTTGCAGCATAAAACATTTTTTAACAGCCAACATTTTCTATGGAAAACTTTTTTTCCAAAAAATGGTTTTCCGTAGAATAGGTTTTCCTATGTTTGGTTGCGAGCTTAAAACTAATGTGCTAGTTGTTGTATTAGTATTGATGGTGGTGTAGTAGTGGAGCTAGTGGTGGTGCTGGTGCTGGTGCTGGTGCTGGTGCTGGTGCTGGTGTAGTCGTTGAGGGGTGATGCTGGTGCTGGTGGAGATGATGGTGGCAGTGGTAGTGTGGTGGCATTAACAAGATTTTAGTCCAAAAAATGTTTTCAACCTTTCAAAAAATATTTTCCCCCCAAATAAATTTGTTTTCCATTGATCATGGAAAATGTTTTATGTTGACTTTTATTTCTATGGTACCAAGCACTAAAAAATGTAGAAAAACCGAAACAAATGGAGCATAAAACTGACAAAAGTAGAGAAAACTAACCAATGAAAAGCACCGATGGATAATGCAAGATTTCAAAATTAAAATCAGCCTCTCAAAAGAAATTGTTAGCTTAACTCTTTTTTTTTTCTAGTATAGAAAAACTAGAGAAAAAGATAATCGCTGGTGACAGTAAAAATTAAAAAAAAAATCTAAGTTTGTATATGTAATTTTTAAAAGATAGGCTTACCGCTTGAAGAATCTCTAGAACACCTGATTCTTTCAACTTCCAAGGAAGATCTTTAGCAAGGGCCTGCATTGAAACCAACCATATTTTAACATATGTAACGAACCATATACTAAAATATATTTAAAACAAGAATGCTAATAAAAATATATTAAAAACAAGAATGCTAATTAAAATATATTTAAAACAAGAATGCTAATTTCTTCAAGATTGATCTTCCACTGTTAAAAAATGGGAAGGAAAATCTACCTGTCTCATTTCTTCAAGACTAATAGCACCATTTTTATCCACATCAATTGCATCAAACTGATCTCGAAGATCAGCCAACTCCTCTGCACCAATTGTGCTAGCTAATGCCTGTAAGACAATAGATCGCCCCATAAACAAAACATAATGAGGGGTATCTATTTTTCAATGTGGTATACCAAAAGCATTTTTTTTTTTTACCCGAAGAGCAAACTGTTTTAAGCAACTGTACTTCACAAATTGTCGCATGTTTGATAGGACTAAGATATCCAGAGGAATCTCTGAAGCATCCCCACCTTCTCTAACCCATGGGTGTGCTGGAAAAGTTGGAGAAAGTCAATACATTATATCAAATACACGTTTGAAAAAGGAAATATGAAGAAGAAAAAATGTGAAGACAGTACACGGTTTCATCATCAATCAAGGATGAATACAGCCTACTTTAAGAAATTAAGAAAATAGATAGTGGAACCATATATAACGTGACAATCACTAGAATGTAAAAATGTTCAAGTTTCTATCGGAGTTGCAATTGGTTCTCCTGATAATCAAATGCCTAATAGGTAAAAACGTCCCTATATCAAAGTCGGGTTTTGCCATTTCTTGCAGCATTTCTCCTTGGTTGCACTATAGTGCATGTTTTCCCGCCCACCAACTGGTGTTTGGTTAGGGTTCAGGGCTGTATCCTCTCCTACAACCGAATGACAATACTTCGGTGGTGGTCCATAATCGGTTGATGTCAGGCTGAAAGCCAGCTAGATATAATCTAAAACATTCATAAATAATAAGATGATCAATGAAAACTTTCCAAAATAGCTGTAGCTAAGGAATTCTTAAAATTTCCATTTGATGCAAGACAAAAGAGAAAGCAATCTATTTCTTTTTAAATAACAAATATAGACATACATAAGGCCTGGGCGGCAGTGAGTCTTGCACGAGGATCCTTCACCAGCAATTTCTTGACAAAATCTTTTGCACTGTTGCTTATGGTAGGCCATGGTTTGCGACGAAAATCAGGCTTGTTTCTTAAAACCTGAAAATGTCAGAAAAATAGAATTATAATAATGGCATAAGCAAAAAACAAAACAACAAACAATCAGATCCAAAGAACTATTGTACTTGTGAAAAATCATCATCTACAATGAGATCCAAGAGCACCCATTGAGCAAACCTTCCAATATTACATCGGGTCTTGTTAACAAGTGCCCTTGGCCATCGGTAAACAACACTTAAAATGGTTGTACATTCTTTATAGCAAACACTACTATAAAGAATATACAACGTTTTTAACCTTGTTAACCTCATGAAGCATCAGGTCTGAAGTTTGACTCCCATTGAGTGTTATCAATCCCTTAGGGGCCACGCCTACAGGCATAGCCTAAGATTTGCCCGACCTGTGTGTAGGGTGCACTTTGCGTGGGTCTTAGGATTAGTCCTTGAGGGACTCGTTTACAAAATCATATTACAAATCACATCCAGAAAGAGCTTTCCTTACGATCAGTGGAAATTTGTTCTACTGTTGTCAACTGTGAAAACAGACTTGAATCACTGTAGTGTTCCTGTTTGGAGCTACAGTTCTGCTATGCATCAAGATCTCCATTAGAACGGAGGCTTAATAGAAACAGGGAATCAATGAAACAGTTGGGCATATGCTTGGCATGTCAAGCAAACTACAGGCTCGTCACCTACTTAAGGGGGTGTTTGGGATGATGGTTTGAGGCTAAAATAGCCAATAAGGCCCCCCAAAAAAAAAAGACTAAAATAGCCTATAAGACAAAATATCATATCTTACACATTAATCAATCACTTTTTCTCTCACAAACATCTATTCAACTAACAAAAAAAAAAAAAAAAAAAAAAAAAATCTACAAATCATCCCAAATACAACCTTTTTTTCATTGACTAAAACAGCCATCATCCCAAACGAGGCCTAACCAACCTAACATTTCATGATATGCCAATGCATTTGATATCAGATGACACGCTGGAAAGCTATTGATACATTTTGAACATAATTTATGAGAAGACCGCTAAACAGAATAGCAATAGGAAGAAAATATCAACATCGAAAGCTAAGAATGCACAGCACCTCCTTAAATATACCATCCTCAGTTTTGTCCCAAAAGGGGCGCCTCCCACAGAGCAATATGTAGGTGATTACTCCAATGCTCCAGGCATCCGATTCCGGCCCTGATTTACGTTTCAAAACTTCAGGAGCAACATAGTAGGCACTGCCAACAATATCCTGAAACTTCTTCCCTGCATCAATCAGTAATTCAGCATATAATAGTCCTGAATTCTGCGACAAATTAATCAGAAAAGAAATTTGGCGAGCAACAAATACCTCCAAAATATGAGAGTAAATTTTATATGAGACCGTTGATCAAAACAAAACTGACCCAAAAATAAAATATATGACTTACAGGAACACACATCATTAGATTAAGAAATGTAAAATGAATAGATCTCTCACCCGGTCTTATGAAGTCTGAAAGACCAAAATCTGTGGCCTTCAAAGGCGAATCCTCTTTCTTTGACTTGAAAAGAAAATTCTACAGTAAATAAAGAGAGATGTAAAAATCAAATTCTAAGAAAGAAAACTGTATAACAAACACATCATGTGGCAGTACTCTGGAAAACATAATCTAAAAAGCCTTTCTTTGCTAGTGAGCAATTATACCTCTGGTTTCATGTCACGGTGCACCAAACCATGTAAATGACACTCGGCTGCAACTTTAAGCATCTGCCTCACAATTACTGCCGCATCTTTCTCAGAATAACGACTATTTTTTCTGATTTAACGAGAACATCAGTAAGTACTATAATCATAGTTCATATTATAATATTATAATATACATCATGAAACAACCACCATACCCATGCTAAAACATCCACACACACACACAAAAAAAAAAAATTAAAAATCTTACTTTGACAAAATTCGGTCCAGCAATTCACCACCCTCACATAACCTAACAAAAGATGATGGAAAGAAAGCATGTATTCATCAAGAGAATGTAATGGGGAAGAAGAGGGTCGTAGACATAGATGTATGTAATTCAAAACATAAGATGAAAAATATCAAAACCAAAGATCTCAAAAAATAAAAAATAAAAGAAAAAGATGCAACATAAGAATGGTGAAAACAACTCAATTGTGGAATTATCTAGAAGAGAAACTTGAAATACTTACTCCATAACTATAAACACATAAGAATCATCCTCATATGCGTTGTAGAACTGAACAACATTCTCATGACCAGTTAGGGCTTGCAATATTTTGACCTCTCGCTTAACATCCTCAACAGCAATTGGAAGAACCATCTGTTATGAAATGCAAGAATTTGTTTCAATACATTACAATAACAGTAAAGTCTAAGAATAGAAGCCAACTAAAATATCAGATAATAATCTTTTATCTATGATTTCAAGTATACCCATTATGTTTCTAATTGTATCTAAGATCCCACCAATGTAAATAACAGTAACCATATATTTCTCGATGACATAAGCAAGCAAATTAGCACATTTTCCTCTACATGAAGCAACCATTAATGGAAAGATAGTTATACAAACTTGTGATAGTTAGAAGCCCCAGAATATCAAAACTTCCATTATCATTTGCTAAACTCCTAACTAATGTGAACCCTTTAAAAGATCGTTGAAACAAATACCCATTATCAGAAAGTTGAATACTTTACAAATTACAATCATTCAGCAGAAACAAATCAGAATAACATGTTCCTGGTTTGACCCTTAATTTTTGACAACCCTACCAACCATCCAAGAGAAATAAATGAAACCAGATCATGAATAATTAACTTCCAACAAATATTCACCAATATGAACAAGAAACTCCTGATTACCAAAATTTAAATTAGGCAATAAAAACAAACAAACAAACAAAACCCAATTCCCCAATCGAAATAAAAAAATTGAGAAAAATACCTTGTTCTTCTCAATTCTCTTGACTGCAACACGATTTCCATTAGACTTGTCAGTGGCAACATATGTATACCCAAATTGGCCATGACCCAACAATTTTCCAATCATATACCTCTTATCAAAATCCTTATCATACCCAAAATCGGTTCGTTTTCCACAAGGAATAACCCCGGTTTGCCTCTTCGGCTTTGTCTGCTGAGAATTCCTCTGTTGCTGTTGCTGAGAATGTCTCTTGTGATTCTCTTGCGTTTTGGGTTGATTATAATGCGACCCTTCTCGGTTCTTCGCGGTGATTGTCGCTTTTGAGGCCTGTTTGGTGCTCTCTTTGCGGTGTCTATTAGCAGTGTTGGTGTTGGTGTTGGAATTGGTGTTGCTGTTTGACCCACTCACCTTGGAAGTAGAAAAACAGCTACCCATCTTCTTCTTTTTGCAGAAGATTAAAAGAAAAATTCAGAGATTGATGATCAAAACTATACAACAATCCGATAAATACCTACTAATCATATTCACAAATTTGATGTGTGTGTGGTATGTATATATATGGGGAGAGAGAGAGAGATGTAATGAGGGGGTTAAAGAGGAAGGTTTGGAGCAGATAGGAGGAAGAGGGGAAGAAGGGGAGGGGGTGGTGGCGATGGTCAAAAGAGACTTTTGAAGCAGAAGAAGAGGAAGGAGAAGAAGACGACGACGAGGGGAGAGAGAGAGAGAGAGAAAGAGAGAGAAGGAGCTTGGGGGACAGCTTCCCTGTTCTCATTTGGGGGAAAAAAATGATTTGAGAAATTTTTATTTTGTTTTTTTTTTTATTTCTTGTTTAGGGGTGGTTTGGGATGAATATTTTAGTCTGGTTTTTGTTTTATTAATAATTTTAATCCAGCTAAAAATATTTTGTTTAGAATAATTTTTTGACTTTTTAAAATGGGATCAGCTTCCCTTCCAGTTCTGGGGATAATTATTTAGTAATCCTAAAATATAGACATGTAGTATTCCATAGTATTATGATTAGTGGAGAAGGTAGGTTGGTGGGGTATTGTGTTGGGTGATTGGAGAACATGAGGGGGCATATTAAATGGTGATTAGTTAGGGAGTACAAATGCGTGGTACTTCAGGATTATTGAATAATTTCTCCCGTTCTTGAGGGTTTTGTTGGGCCTGTAGAGACCCATCACGAGTCTTATTTTAATAATTCGAATCGTTCAATGTGTATAACTCATCGAATATTACAAGTTTGTAAAAAATCATGTTGATCAAATATCGATATCTATTTCATCGGATCAACTTTCTGTTAACCGTTTATTTTTTCACCTTCTATTTTTTTATACAAAATAGATTTGATCACGTAGCTATCGATATCCGATCAATATGATTTTTTTTTACGAGTATATAGTACTCAACGAGTTCTATACATTGAATGGTTCATATTATAAAAAAGAGACCCGTGACAACGCTCTCCAGTCCGACTGGAGGAAAGCCAAATCCTTTTTAAATTTATTTTATCTTTTAATGAGTTAAATAAATTCTAACTAACTTTCCAAACGAGGTCGTTGAGTATTTATTTTTTTGTAAAAATACTTTTTACATTACTAAGTTTTTAAATTTCTTTTTTCATTTCTAAAATAAATATTAAAAAAATATTTTTAATTTTATTTTCGTGCCAATGAACATGGTAGTGTGAAATTGTAAATAATTTTTTTGTTTATGAGTTCATGGACAGTACGTGTTCTTAGGAGTGTAAAAATGATCTGTGATTTGTGAGGCGTTAGAAATCCGCTTGCAGTCCGAGGTGGGCCTGGCCAGTGCAGGCCTGTTTGGATCCAGGCCCGAGCCCAGCCTGAGACCCTGGGCTTGGGCCTAGGCTATCATTTTGAAGCCTAGCTCGGCCCATCGACCCGCTTAAGGCCCACTCAAGGCCCAACTTGTCCGAGACCTAGTGTATTTTTTAGTAGAAAATAATAAAATTTTGATAAAAAAAATATTAAAAAAAAATTGTCCAGGCTCGCCCAAGCCCGGGCCAAGCTCGAGCCCCACCGACCCACCCAAGACCCGAATACTCCCTGGGCCTGGGCCTAGGTCTAGTCCTAATTTTCTGGCTTGACCCGAATTTTGGCAAGAGCCCGCGAGGCCCGACATGACGCAAGCCAGGCCAAATTTACACTTCTACGCGTGTCATGGCCCAATAAAATATTTTCTTTTAGATAAAACCCAAAATAAAATAAATTTTAAAGAAATTATAATTCATCATAGTTTTGGCACAAGTATAACGAGGTTTGTTTGTATTTTTTAAATTTTTATGAAAAGATATAGAAAAATATAGAGCTGATATGACCTAAATAAATATACTTATTTAACCTTCGTTCGGTATGTAGGTTGGCTTTTTCGCTTTTCAACTATTTTAGTCTAAGGCTAAAAAGTCTTGTTTGGGATAGACTTTTTAACTTTTTTTAATTTTTATGAGAAAAAAAATAAAATGAATATGAATTAGATGTGACATTTTATCTTATTTAACTAAAATAGCCAATTTTATCATATTTGACTATTTTAACCCAAAGTAGTATCCCAAACATAATCTTTTAGTGCATTCCCAAGCAACCCCTCACAGTTGAGTAAACTGAATTATCAGTAGTTATAAAAGGGAATTTCTAATATACACGCTAGTGCGGAGGCACATTAGGCCCGGGAGGGGTCACGTGCCACTTTGGGTTTTGAGAATTTATTTACTTTTTTAACATAAAGAAAATATTTTAAATAAAAAAATTATAAAAATATTATTTAAAGTGAAATGTCAATAACATTTTAAAATTATGAGAATAATAATGATTATTTTGATTGAAAATAAAGAGACTACGATAAGTCATATTATTATTTATGAAAATTTCAATATAATTGTGATGTCTATCATTATTGACATGCAAACATAATTAATTTCAATGAAGATATGAAATTTATTGGATTGTTAGTTACATTTGACATATAAAATTTATCCTCTATGTGTTTCTTTCCATTTATAACTAAAATGACCACTACATAAATTATAATCAAGCAGCACATCTTCAATTATAAAACATAAAAAAATAATAAAAAATTATAATAAGTCATAATTAATATCAGAATAAGTCATAACTAACTATTACTTGATATATAGTCATAACCAAAATAACAACCATAAGAAATTATATCTAACACTATAATATGTTATAACTAAAGACCACGAAAAACATAATTGTGATATATAATAGACACTTTTTTGCGGTATGTTTTATAGAATTTCATTTCTATCTCAACTTATCTTCTTTTTTAAATTTCCAATCCGCCTATAAAATAGTTACTCCCTAATATTTGTACAAAATTTAATCTCAAATCTTTTAATTTAAAATTCACATATATCCAAATGAACTCTTAATATTTAAGTTTAGTAATATCTCATTGTTGTTTATTATAAATAAATAAAAAATTAATGTTATCATTAATTTGTGCCCCTTCTCCACTGAATTCCTTACTACGCCACTGAAAAAGGGTATACCATATGTATTCCTAATTATGTCTCTCTTTTTTTTAGTTATGACAAATTTTTTCTTTAATTATGATATTATTATAATTTATGAGATCTTTAGTTATACCTCATATTGTGTTGAGTTATGATATATATGTATATATATATATTTTAATTATGACTCAAAAGTATAAAATTATGTCATTTTCTTCTTTAGTTATACTATATGTGACATAGTGTTTCCAGTTATAAAATTACAATTAAGTCTCGTATTTTTGGTCTAATAGCTAGAAGATGGATTGTTGTGGGTTTGTCCAAGATTTATTTTGATAATCTGAACCGTTTATATTATATAATTTATCAAATAAATTATTCGTAAAAAAATCAAATTAATTAAATATTCGTAACTCCATAACAAAATCACATTTGTTTTTTAAAAAAATAAACGGTTAACATGATTTTGATGACATTTAAAAATAATTAAGAATTGGTCATAAAATTATAAATATCTGATTAATTTCTTTTTTTTTACGAATAATACACTTCACGAATTTTCTAATACCAACCATTTAAATTATCACAATAGCCTTGGATAAATTTCCACAATTCCTGGCCACAGTAATATTTCCTCTTCCCCAGTATCCTTAGGTCATGTATTTAATTTCTGTGATATAAAATAAATACAAGTAATGTAAAAAGAGTATACAAAATGATTTCAGGGTGGCTTCACAAATTTTTAAAAAGCAAAATGAATCCCCCCCCCCCCCCCCCCCCCTTCCCTTTTTTTTGACTGCATTACAAAATTAAGAGAAAAATAAATATATACAAATAATTTCATTTTTCATACACTTTTTTGTTTCAATTTGAATAATTTAGTCGTTACATTTTAAGTTCAATTTTAATTTGGTCCTTCAATCTAAATTTGTGTTAATTTTGTTTACACTAACGAGTGGCACACGCAATGTGTAACAATTCAAATAACTAATAATAAAGAATAAAGAATTTACTATCATAATATGTAGTTGCTTAAGTGATAAATATATTCTTAATAAAACCTAAGGTCTTGAATTTAAAACTTATTTATACTGTGTATAATAAATTATTTTATTTATAACATATATAAAGTTACCATGTGGCATAAGGAGAAGAAGGTTTAACTAAACTAATTTAAGCATTCACTTAATAGTATAAATTTGGTATAAAATAAATACAACTAATGTAAGAAGAACATACCCAGGCTATGTTTGGGATGTGGGTCTTAGACTACAATTGTCACAAAAAGATAAAATAGGTTTTAGCCTAATAAGACAAAACGTTGCATCTAAACTATAATCGTTTCATTTTTTTTCTCACAAAAGTCAAAAAATCAAAAAGTCTATCCCAAACGAAATTTTTTAGCCCCAGACTAAAATAACCAAAAAATCAAAAAGTGAACCCACATCTCAAATGAAGGCACGATGATTTCATGACAGTTTCACAAATTTTTAAAAAGCAAAATGAATTCCCCCCCCCTCCCCTCTCTTTTGACTGAATTACAAAATTAAGAGAAAAATAAATATATACAAATAATTTCATTTTTCATACACTTTTTTGTTTCAATTTGAATAATTTAGTCGTTACATTTTAAGTTCAATTTTAATTTGGTCCTTCAATCTAAATTTGTGTTAATTTTGTTTACACTAACGAGTGGCACACGCAATGTGTAACAATTCAAATAACTAATAATAAAGAATAAAGAATTTACTATCATAATATGTAGTTGCTTAAGTGATAAATATATTCTTAATAAAACCTAAGGTCTTGAATTTAAAACTTATTTATACTGTGTATAATAAATTATTTTATTTATAACATATATAAAGTTACCATGTGGCATAAGGAGAAGAAGGTTTAACTAAACTAATTTAAGCATTCACTTAATAGTATAAATTTGGTATAAAATAAATACAACTAATGTAAGAAGAACATACCCAGGCTATGTTTGGGATGTGGGTCTTAGACTACAATTGTCACAAAAAGATAAAATAGGTTTTAGCCTAATAAGACAAAACGTTGCATCTAAACTATAATCATTTCATTTTTTTTCTCACAAAAGTCAAAAAATCAAAAAGTCTATCCCAAATGAGATTTTTTAACCCCAGACTAAAATAACCAAAAAATCAAAAAGTGAACCCACATCTCAAATGAAGGCACGATGATTTCATGACAGTTTCACAAATTTTTAAAAAGCAAAATGAATTCCCCCCCCCTCCCCTCTCTT